ACGATCTCGCATCACGCTCGGCGTTCCAAATCGCCATTGCGCTGTACAAGATGACCGACCCGGCTAGGCCCATGACGCAGAGCAAGATCAGCAAGCTGGCGCGCGAGAGCGCCCAGGCCGCTCAAGAGCGCCAACGCGACCAGGACCGACGCAACGACATCAACCCTACCTCGACGCCCAGCGTACAGACCAAGGAGGAAGACTCGTCGCTCATCTACCGCGCCGATCTCAAGCGCGAGTTCTTCTTGCTCGATCAACTCGCCGCCGTGGCGAATGCGAACAAGCAGCCCGAGGCGCTGCCCCCGGATTCCGAGGCCAACTTTACGCGTGCCTGGAAGCTGGGCGCGAGTCTCATCCCGGTGCCCGACGAGGCGTTTGGATCCATGGATACGCGCAAGGGCATGGAGGTGGTGCACTTCTTCAGCGCCAGCGCGTACCGGCGCGAGTACAACGTCGACCAGATCTGGTACGTCTTTGCAGACCATGCGCAGCTCAAGGCGCAGCTCCAGCTCTCGACGCTCATTCGCGCCATGGTCGAACTCGACGTGCTCGCCGTCGTCAGGCTCGTACGCAAAGATGGAGCCGAACCAGAGTTGGGCATTCTAAAGCCCAGGGTGGAGGAACATAACGAGTTCTTGTTCTACTCCCGTGCGCCCTTCCGAGAAGATCTGCGCAGATTCCCCTTTCCGCCACTCGACAGGATCGTCACCACCGATGGCACCGAGATCAGACAGGCACCCACCATCCCGGACGACCAAGACCAAAAATGCATGGATGCGTTTGTCGACAGCATGGAATTGCCAGACGAGTGGTTCGACGTGCTCGACTCGTACAACCCCGCCATCCATGGCCTCAAGACGGCAGTGCGACACCGATTCGTGCATCCAGATGCCGACTACTTGCCCGGCCCGCACCCGGAGCTGGTCAAGTATCTCGAGGCACCGCGCGAGGTGCAGGAGCGCTCGACCAGGGCGGCTCACGAGTGCAGGGAGAGGTTCAGGATCGCCTATGTGCCGCCCAAGGGCAATGCGGACCGCAAGAAGCGCACGCTCAGCGCCATGCAGCAAGACACGCAACACTCTGAGGCGAGCAAGGCAGCGCGTGCGCACGAGGCAGAGGCCAAAGCGGCTCCGGCGCGCGCAGACGAGTCGGATGCCACCGAGGACGAAGCGGAAGCCAGCGCGGCACCGGCAGAAGTTCAGGCTGAAGCTCAAGCAGCTGCGCCGCGCAGGGCTGCGCCGCTGCTGCGGTTGCAAGATCCCGTGTCGCACCTGCACGAGCTGGTGGAGAGCGACGACGTGACGCGAGCCATGCAGTCGCTGCTCGCCACGATCGACCACCTGGTGGGCGAGCGCAGCTATGAGCGTGCAGCGCAGTGCATGCAGGCGGCCAAAAAGGTGGCGCAGGAATACGAAGAGGCCATCACCTGGAACGCCTACATCCGAACGCTCAAGACGCGCATCCTCGCAGCCCACCGCAGCTTCTGGGACAACCACCTAGCAGGTAAACTCGAGTACGGTCTCGTAGCGGAAGAGGAGGACGAGGCGGGCCAAAGCGACGTCACGCCCGAAGATGCGCGCGAGTTTGTCGAAACAGAGTACGTTTAGTCAGTCCCGCTTTTGGGCAAATATCATAGGCTAAGAGTATGGATTGTCACGAAGTCGACTTTTTGGGCGAGGTGGAGAAGCCCATTGCGAGCAGTGTATTCTTCTGTGCCGGCTTTTTGGCTGGTGAGCGCTTGGTGTCTGGTGGCACACCGATCTGCATGAGCTCGGTGAACTTTTCAAAGTGGTGGGTGGGGAGGATGCCGCCACTCGCCTGGGGATGGCCGTTGAAGGCATTGCCTCCGAGCTCGTGCATGAGCTCGTTCAGCCACGACTCGTCGCGACGGGCATACTCGTGCAGCAGCTGGATGATGTCGACGTGCTCGCCCCTCGCCTTGGCAGCGTTGGCGATGCGACAGCTGAAATGCACATTGCCGTCGGTATAGCCGTCGTTGGCACACATGACGGCCTGCAGCTTGTTGCTCTTGAGTGCGCCGGTCCAGCGAGTGGCGATGGAGGGATGGACTTGAAAGCTGGATGTGATGCGCAGCAGCGCGATGCGGCCGTCCTTTGTGAATTTGGGCGGAGTGTGGGTGCACCGTTCGGTCTCGAGCAGCACCGCCTCGCGCGCCGCGTACAGTCGAGCTGCGTGCTCGTTCGTCGCAGAATCGAGGATGGTGAGCGGAGATGTAGATGCGAGCAGCGCGGACCAGGCGGTGGAAACGTCGAATTCAGGAGTGCGGCGTGGAGCGTTGAGCAAGGCGATGGCTGAACCCAGACGTTTCTTAGTCCACTTTTTGACTTCTGGTGTGAGGTCCGGGAATGGCGGTTGCCAGGAGACATTGACGCTGAGGTCGCCCATTGTGCCCAGCACGGCGAGGTAGTCGACCTGTGCTTCGGCATCAGCGTCGACAGACCACAACGGCCGGCATAAGACCCAAGTGAGCAAGGATGCGGTGGCGACAGGTTCGTGGTGGCAGGCGTTGAGCATAAGGCAACCCTCGGGTCCGCCCTGACCGAGGGCGAGAAAGTGGTGGTCGACCACCATAGTAGCCACTGCATCCGGGTTCTTTGAACGCCAACCATGCTCGGCACCGGGTACGATGGCGGGACCGGTGCGGGAGCCCTGGTCGAGCACGATGATCCACTTTGCGCCGTATCCGGCGATGGCTTGGCGCTGGGCGGATGCACCCGGGTGAGCTCCTTTGGTCATGAGGTGCACGTCGATGCGGGCGGGCGAGATTCCGAGGGCGTGCACGAGTGTGCGATACATGATCGCTCCCGAGCACAGACCGTCTGCGTCCTTGTCGGGAAGGAGGAGGATGCGATTCGAGGCGGGAGAGGCTGTACAAGCCTTGAGAAACTCGGCCGCTTCGCGCAGCTTGGTTGGGGGAGCAGGCCATTCTGGGTGCGATTCCGATAGTCGGGCGACGATCATTTGTAGGGACGTAGGTGATGGCGAGCGAGATTTTGATACTGGTGCCGGCTTGGCGCGTTTACTGGGTGACGATAACGAGGCCGAGGCGGCGCTCCGTTTGGCTGCGGCCGTCATGGCTGGGATGCGCGGCGGACGAGGTCGTAGCAAGGGTGCAAGTCGAAGTACAGGCCTAGTCGACATGCCCCAGCACAGTAGCACGGCCAGGCAACTTCATGGAGCGTCGAAGCGATGGTGTGGCGGTGACGGTGGTGGTAGCAACGAGCAGAGCATCGTGTCCTAGCACACTCAGCAAGACCTCCACACATGCCGGTCATCAACGTCACCGACAGGCCGAATCGAAATTCCGCAACTGTTAGGGTTTTACCGCCTAACATAGATGGGGCTGTAGCGCGCATTAAGTAATCCTTAGACCGCCCTGCTTGGCGCGCGTTTGGATGGCAATTTCGGATGAAGGTTCGTCGGCTGAGCCGGTCGCATCAGAGCCGCTCAAGCCGCGCGTTGAAAGCGAAGCCCAGCAGAGTACAGCTGAGGCAGCCGAGGCAGGCAGATGCAGCTGTGAAGATGCTGCTCTGCCCCCGCCGATGTCACCCGGCCGGCCCAGCGAGTCTGTGTGCGAAGCCGAGTGGCAGCCCCGTCCTTCTCCTCCACCATATCCTGCACCCCTAGCCCACCATGATCGCCACCGCCATGCTCCCTCGCGTCAGCCTGCGCACCGCCGCTGCGTCTGCGCTGCCCCTCCGTCGCGGATTCGCCACCTCGCGCGTCGACCTCGCCAACACGCTCGTCTTCCTCGAGCACAAGAAGGGCACCTTCAACCCCGCCGCCCTCTCCGCACTCACCGCCGCACAAAAGCTCGGCGGAGACATCGACGCCCTCGTCGTAGGCTCCGAGGCCGAGGCTAGCGACGTCGCCTCCAAGGCTGCCAAGTAAGTTCGCCAGAAGCATTGCTGTGTACAGAGCTGGACCCCCCGACTGACTTGGAGTCGTTACCGCACAGGCTCCCCGGCCTCAAGAAGGTGCTCTTTTCCAAGCACGCCGACTTTGCCAACAACCTCTCCGAGCCGCTCGCTCCGCTGCTCAAGAAGATTGTCGAGTCCAACTCCTACACCCACGTCTGCACCGGCCACACCGCCGTCGGTCGCGACATCTTCCCGCGTGCCGCTGCGCTCCTCGACTCGTCCCAGGTGTCCGACATCATCGGCCTCGAGGGTGAGGACACTTTCGTGCGTCCCATCTACGCCGGCAACGCCATCGCCACCCTCAAGAGCTCCGACAAGGTCAAGGTCTTCACCGTCCGCGGCACCGCCTTTGACGCCGCAGCGCTCGAGGGTGGCAGCGCCACCACCGAGGAGGTCAAGCCCGACAGCGTCGAGTCGCCCACCGACTTCATCGAGGAGAAGGTGTCCGAGTCGTCGCGCCCCGACCTCGCCACCGCCTCGCGCGTCGTCTCGGGCGGCCGTGCGCTCAAGTCGTCTGAAAACTTTGTCAAGTACATTGAGCCGCTCGCCGACTCGCTCAACGCCGCCGTGGGTGCTTCGCGTGCCGCCGTCGACGCCGGTTACGCCGACAACGCGCTCCAGGTCGGTCAGACGGGCAAGATCATCGCTCCCGAGCTCTACGTCGCCATCGGCATCTCGGGCGCCATCCAGCACCTCGCCGGCATGAAGGACAGCAAGACCATCGTCGCCATCAACAAGGACGCAGACGCTCCCATCTTCCAGGTCGCCGACCTCGGCCTCGTCGCCGACCTCTACGAGGCCGTGCCCGAGATGCTCGAGAAGATCAAGTAGATCCGCACCAGCTCGCTTCCAATCAATCAATTCCGTTTGTCGCTATGCTCGCCGTCGTCGTGTGTGAGGTTTGTTGAGGGCAGCTGGGCGCGCGTAACGCGGCTGGAATTGGATTGAATAGGCGCGCGGCTCCAGCAGATCATAATTCCAAGACCAACACTCGCACTGTCCTTCACCAACACCTTGCTTCTCGGCCTCCATTCGCTTCCCCTTCTCTGTACGCGCGCCATGGCGCTCCCCTTGCACGACGGCTCGCTCGTCGGCGACGGCAGCCAGATCGGCATGTTCCCCGTCCTCGCAGATCAGCATCTCGAAAAGCAGGCGCGTCTCCTCCGCTCCGCCGCCAACCCGCGCATGGACCTCGTCCTGCTCGTCCTCAAGGACGCCGTCGCAGCCTCGGCATCCGCCACGCCAGCTCCACCCCCGGGCATGTCCGCCGCCCAGTTCGCTCTCGTGCAGCGCATGCTCGCTGCTCGTCAACGCGGCGCCAACGCAGCCTCGGCACAAGGCGGTGGCGCGATGGAACCCAAGCGCGGTCCCCAAATCAACCTCGTCCTCTGGCGCATGGGAGACGACAGCACCATCGTTTGGTCCTCTCCACTCTCCCTCGAAAAGCTCATGGACCCATCCCCCGCCTCGCCGCTTCAGGAACACGAGGACCTCCTCCTCCACGATATCGTCTGGAGCCCAACCGGAGACCGCCTCGCCCTGCTGGCCACTCTCACCAGGTCGCCCCTCGCATCCTCCTCCACAGCCAAGCCACGCACGTCCACCTTCCTGCGCACATACTCGGTCCAAGATGGTACGCTGCTCTCCACCGTCCAACTTCACCTTGCGCATGCATCCAGCGCGCCAATGTCCATACAGTGGCTCGACGCGGAGTTCGCCGCCGACGGCGATGCGGTCGATGGCAGCGCAGAAGCCCTGCTCGCAAAGCTACCCCCACTGCCACAGCTTCCACCCGCAGACACGTTTGCATCCACCAGCGCAACGGGCAACCTCATGCCGCACCAACTCAGGATGATGCAGATGGCAGGCAAGAAACCACCGCCCAGCTTTCAGTACCCGTCCCAGCTCGCCTTGCAAGGAAGAGGGCCTCTTTCCGCCATCCCCGCCCTGGCAAGGTCCAACGCAGACCTCGGACTGCTCGACGGAGCAGACGGAAGCCTCGCTCTCAATCCACAGAGCGCGCTGCCGTTGACGCCGCAGACTGTCGTCGTTGTCGCGCAGCCCGCGGCCGACAATGTGCACCTCGTCTTGGACGGCCAAGTGTGCATCGGCTCCGTCCCTCTCGCTTCACCGAGCGACCAACAGCCCCAGTCGCAGCTCGTCTCGCTCTCTCGTGACATGAGCCGTCTGGAAGTGCTCTCCACCAGCTTCCGCGCAGCCTTGACCCACGTCCAGATCAGTCTGCCTCTCCGCGCCACAACACGCTACGCACCCTCGTGCACCCGACGCCGCATCGCTGCAGTGAGCCGTGCAAGCCACCTCGCGCGCTTCTACCTCGGCTACGCACTCGACACCGCCTCGGCGCTCCAGCAGCTCTACCAAAAGGAGTACGTGCAAAAGGTGACGAGCGAGTGGGCCAAGAACATCGACGACATCAGCTCCAAATTCGGCGGCGACATGAAGTACGAGCTGATCAACGTCCTGCTAACGGGTCGTGCCGGTCCCGCTGCGGAGCAGTTCCTGCTGGGCAACTTGACCGAGGGCGTGCTCACGCGGCTCGAGCAGCACACGCATGCCGCCATGTATGCGCTCAAGAAACACGTCGCCGACAGCCTGCGTCCGTCGCTGGAGCGTGCCATCATCTGCATAGACGGTCTGAGAGCATACACGCGCTTCTTTGATCGACCTGATGGCGAGACCGAGCAGACGCTAGCAAAGGTGCTGGAAATGCTGCAGCGTGTGCTGGCGGCGGCACTGCAGCTGGCGGATGAATTAGATCAAGAGGCGCTCGTATCGCAAGAGTTCTATAGGTGGTGCAGGACCGAGCGCGACAGGCAGGAACGCATCAAGCAGGATCAGGACGAACCAAGACTGCCCATCGTCTACGACGTTCACTACGTCGCAAAGTACATCGACCGCGGATTCGAGAATGACGCGATTGCACAGACGCTTGGTAACAATGTCGCGCAGGATGCAACGAGGCCCGTCGAGCACGAGCTCCATGCACCAAGCTTGGCCGAGGCACTCGAACAGGCCAAATTGTTCCTCTCCGATCCTCACACTGCCAGCATTGAATCAGAGTCGAACACATCAGGAGAAGTCCAGACGGTGGCTATCGTACCAATGCTCACGACGGCCATCACGATGCTGGGCGAACAAATGGCTCAGCTGCTCGATGCCGACTTGCAAAAGCCGCTGCTGCACTCGAACTCGAACAGCGTGGCCAGTCAAGCTTCCGCGCTGGTCATGGAGGATGTACCTGCAACATCTTTCGCCTCCATCGTCGAGCAGCAGCCGGAACGCATACGCACGGCATCGTTCTTATCGACCGAAACGATGCTTGCCGCCTTCATTGTTCGCTGCGATGACACATCCTCGATCTTTGTCGTCCGGCGTGACCTGAGTGCAGACGCCGGCATCCTCACGGCGCACTTTTCCATTGCCCAGCTCCCCGGCCAAGGCAGTGTGGACATTGTCGATGTCGGATTCTACGGCGACACAGACCTGCTCGTGCTGGCCAGTCTCGAGGCGACCAGCGTCTTGCTAGCCTTTGCACTGCCGCACCTTCCCTTCTCCGCGCAGGCATCCGAGATGCAGCAGATTGCGCCAACGCGGGCGACAGAGTTTGAGCCCGGATTCAGGGCGAGCTCGATCGCAGTCAACACGAACAAACAAACCGTGGCTCTCTCAGCTCAGGATGGCACCAGGATTGTGTACCTCGATATGGCCACCGTCGAGCCTTACGACACTCGCATGCACGAGCAACAATGATCGTGCCTTGCTTCGGCTCGGCTCACTCGGAATCTCCATGTGCAGTCACAAGTCGACCAGGTCAAGTACGTGCAGTCCAAGTTTCCTGCTCCGTGTCGTATGATATCAGACGAAGGCACGAGACCAAGCTTACCACCGGTCGGTTCAAACTTCGAGGTCCGCCTGAAAAACGAGTCGTGAGGTCACGAGGATCCCCGTTGTTTCAAACCGCAGATTGAGCTACATCGTTGTCCCGTGGAGTGTGCATTGATCTGTGGACAATCGCAAGATTTCCGAGCGTGAACTCACCACTAATCGAGCGTACTTGGTGGTATCAGGTGTGGTGACTGACGAATCAGGTTGAAGTTGCTTGCTCAGGCTCTGCAGACACCGCAAAGCCTCTATGAGCATGTGATGCAAGTAGCTTCCGCTCTGCGGTCGTCAATATAACTGGGTCATACTTAAGTGAACGGAGCCTGCGTAGCACCACACCCGTCATCCAGGATCTTGTCTGCTCACAGCCATCGCGTTGTCCAGGGATTGAGCTCCCACTTATCGCTGCACCGAAATCAATAACGATGATGGCCTTTGCTCAAGCGGAGCAGACTGATCTTATAATTTGTGAGAAGGCTGTCAACAAGACTTGTATCTACGATGAGATGCTGATAAACCCCGGAACAGTCTGAGGGACTTTTCCACCGAGCATCATCCACAGTAATCTTCGGAGAGAGCGAGGGCGAGAAAGAGTCTCAACCCGTAGCTGTTCGAAGTAGCTTGTTGGACCTCGTTGTACGCAAAGTTCCTTTGTGTGTCTCTAATGAAGGCCATTGAGTCGCCAAGAACATTGTAGTCTTCGTGATTGGGACCAACAACGTTGTTCTGAGCCTCGTCAGACAGCACCCAGCATCTATCGTCCTGTTCGTGATAGTCTCCGCGGGAAAGCTGCCCATCGGCCCAATTCGCTGCAGCTTGGGTAGCCAAACAGTTGAATGGAGTCGTGCCAACATCCTGACCTCCGCGACCATCGCAAGTGAGCACGTCATAGGTGCAGAGAGTTCCGTTGAAATCGTGGCCAGGTGCATCGGTTGCATCGCAGAGGTCCTTTATAAGATTGATTCGCAATTGACTTCTGGCTGTGAACAAAGTGTTGTGATGCAAAGCTGTTGAGCTCTACGTCGTGTCGCTGCCTCAGATTGGGTATGCCCGCTCCATATTAGTTGCAGATGCTAGCAAGACTTCCTCTGGCTCTGATCTTTGGCAGGGTTGGAAGTTCTTGACTTGAGTCCCAGCCAGAGCTTCAAGTTGTTTCGCGGATGCGTATCGGCCTTTGACTCATGCCAATCCGATTATGTTCGCGGAGCAGATCGCCAACAGAATGGCCACAAACAAAGATGGAATCATCGGTCAGATGATTGAAGATGATGTATAGAACCGCTGCTTTGATCTGTCGATTCGTTGCTGCGCTCAGTTCCTCTGGCAGATACGGTGGTGGCCAAGCTTGCATGGAATGTGGTATAGGCTTGCACCACGCGGTTCTGATGCCATCCGTCCTGTGCACTCGAATGCTGATAGTGTGTGCCAAAGTTACGTTCCTCTGCTTCCAATTATTGATACTTGAAAGGGCGTGTGGTGACGCTTTCAGCTGTGCTGCGGTGCTGCGAGCAGCCCAAAGTCCCGAAGCGGCACTTTTGGTGCGTGATCAGTTCGCTTATATGCATTCGATGATGACTAGCGCGGCATTGCGCACGGCTCAGATGAACTTTGACCGGCCATTTTTGCTTCAATGCTCTCATCAGAAGTGCTCACTTGGCCTGGTAACGCACTAAATGCCCGAACGGAGACTTAGTTCGCAGCCTGTGGTGCACGTTTCAGAGCGATTCAGATCCTGTCTGATCCCATTTCACACACTAGGAGACGACTTCTCACACACTAATCGACAACATTTTTCGGCCAGCGACAAGAAAACCGCTTTCTTCTGCGTGAATTCACCTAATACTGTAGTATCGACACTGCTTCGGCAGCGGTGAGCTTATGCTTAGTAACTTTCCAATCGATTTACGGTCAGCTCGTCACAATGCACGGAAAGATGGCATCATGGTCATAGCCTCGACATTGTGAAAATTCATGTCAGATAAAAGATGCCCGGAAACCAGACGCGAAGCCAATGCAAGTTAAATTATCCATGAATTTGAGAGTCTATTATAAAAATTGGTGCCTTCAAACAACAATATGCAAACTAAATCATGATTCTTCACCATCGTGATCCGAGTTCCACCACGTAGGAAGAATTGACGCCGTCAGGATCAGTAATTCTTTCAACCAAGAATGCTGGCTCTCAGAATCGTTAAATGCATCGGCCTGAATTGCATGTCGCCTTATGACACGCAGACCGAAGGCGCGCCTTCTTACAATTTATAAGTTAGTGCTGGTGCACCCCGGTCCAGCCCATGAGATGGGAGAAGATTAGGACATTCACAAAGTCATCAGAAACCTTGCTCTTCCTCCTGACGACAATGCTTAAGTTCATTCGACTTACCTTACACCATCTCCAGCAAGCAGGTAACGCTATAACCAAGCCCTCATTATTCAACTTTTTGACCTTCACAAATCCGTCAGGTAAGTTTTTATTGATGGCGATGACATCATCGCAACGCTTGGCCCACACCACCAGATCACGCCGCAGCATGGCGTGAAGCGAAAGCGCCGATATCATTATTGAACTCGCTTCATTCATGATAGTACGTTTTAGGACATGCTTGCTCTTCTGATTTGAATTTGTGCTTGCGTCACGCACACGAAGTGGAACACTGTCTATTGAATGAGTACCGTGCATTATGACATCTTATCAGGCTCATTCTGCGTGTGCGCGTGTACAAAAATCTCGCAATGCCTACATTTATGATTCATGAATTACGACTCGGTCAAATGAATCACCAATCGTGTTGAGGAACAGGACCCTGCGCTGCTGTAGGTGCTTGAGCACAACAGCAGCGTTCCGAGCAAGACGGCAGAAGACGATAATCTTGCTGGCGGCCTCGTCGGGAATCGTGGGCCTTGTGAGGCTGTGTATGAAGTAAATCGTTGAGTCATCGTGCTTCCCATTGTCAAAGTTGATCTTGCAAGCACAAATCATGCTGTTACATCCGGCGTTCCATCTCTCCGTGGATAGCAAGCTGATCGAGTGTGGCTTCTGATGTTTCGATGATTTTGGTTGCTTAGGTTGACGAATCGCAGTTGACGCATTTGAAGCCTGAAACAATCACGACTCCTAGAATTGTGAGATACTTCCGCTTCGGGAACCAGCCGAGGTTGCGATCCGAGCTGTCTGTCAAGATTGAACAGACCAAAAAAACATTCATTCATGCGTGATGATTATCGAGGCTTCGTGATTGACAGGCAGTAAGGAAGCCACAAGTATGGTACAAAGCCACAGCCGAATTAAAATCTGCATGGGAGCTGAGAGCTGAATCGGAACAGGAGTGTCGCGCCTTATGCTACATGAATATGCTCATCGACACTGGCAAGCCACCTAAGATATAGCTTTTGTTGAATTTCCAACTTTGGCAAAAGGTGCCCGGAAATGCCAGTCACGAAGCTGAGGCTGTATCTTCGACAGCTTGAACAATGAGCCAAGAGCGAGCAATTGATCGCGGGCGGCTAATGGAATGTACTCGGAGGCTTGACTGGCAAAGCGACCCGAGTCATCGTCATCGTGAAAATAATTGTCTTGCGATACGACGGTTGATTTCGTGACACGAGGGCCCTAGAGTCCCTTGAAGAAGCCTAAAAGATGAAGGATTGCAATTGGCAAGAACTGATAAATCATGATTTTGCCGGCCTATTTGGAAAACAAGCACGAAACATCACGCGTGAAAGCAGACAACGTCACAGAGTATTTGAAGCGACCCCAATTTTCGAGCGAGCATGAAGCACGAAGTACGCTGCATGATGCACGATGCGGGTGTGGGCCATTGTATTGCAAGAAACGTGAGCAGGCGGTCGGCTTTCAGGGTGCAGGCTTCGGCTTCAATTCCCGAAGAAATGCGGAACAACGGGCGTTGACAGGTTGTGAGCTGGCCGTTACCGGGCTGCTCGTCGCCAGCTACTGTTTGTCTAGGATTTGCTTTCCACGATACGGATGGGCCTCCGAGTGGCTACCGTGATGCACGTACGGATGTCTCTCAATGGAGCCCAGGGTGCTTGTGCATGCCGCCCATGTGGCAAGCACCGTACAGAGATTGCGGGCAGCTTCTCTCTCGTCTTTCAGAGGGGTACGGGCAACAGGTTGCGAATGGATAGCAAATACGAAGGAGACAGCGAACAGAGAGTTCTTCATATTTCCCACGACTGCTCGCCCACTACAGTAGCAGCCTGTTTGGGGAAGGAAGCGGAACGGAAGGAGTGACCTTTGGATAGACGGTAGCTTGACGTGGGAAGAACAAGATGAGCTGCATTGCCCTGTGCTGAGCTCTGTTGGAAAGCCCAACTTTGGCTGCGCGTTTTCACGCGACGACGGCCATTTCCACTTTTTTTTTTGCTTTTGGATCAGGGTCTGACGGCTTGCGCCCAGCAGCGCCTGCGCCCCGCAGAGTGATGAGTGGCGAGATGCATGCGCGCCTTCTTTTTTTGGTGATTGTCGGATTGTTCTGTCTGCGGGGGTGCATTGCATTTGGACTGACTGCCTGTGCTTTTGATTGGGGCGTGAAATGCAGACGAGGCGAGAAGGAGAGCCGTGTGGAGGCGGCACTGGAAACAGGCCTCCGCATCCATGGCGAGTCGTCGTCAGTCACAGAATCGCGCCTCACAAGCGAGATCGGCAGTGGCGACTATCGGCATGCACCACCAGCCAGCCACACTCAGCTCAGCCAGGCCATCTTCACTACCACCACCACCACCACAGCCCTGCAGTATACCCCACCGGAGCCGTCCGTTCATCCTCCGATTCCAGTCGTCGCCCAACATGCCGTCGGTGTTCAAGAGCCTGCGCAAGTCGCTCTCGCGATCCAACGACACCAAGCAGTCCACCGATGCAAGGCGACGCACTCGCACAAGCTCCATCGCCGACCCAAACGTTCGTCCCCACGATTCCATCGACACCACCGCCTCCTGGGACAGCGCACTCACCTCGCCACCTTCCTCCAACACCGAGCCAAGCTCCAACGGCTCCGCCATCACCATCCCCACCTCGCCCAACGATCCCACCTACGGCCTCGTCTCCCATGCAAGCATCGACAGCGGCCGTTCGCAAGATGGCCCCGAGCCTCGCTCAAGGTCAAACAGGCGCAGTGTCTTCTCGCTCGACCTCGCAAAGCAGGCGGTGGACCAGATCGTATCCAGGGCACAGGTCCACGTCGAGTCCATCAAAGTCGGCGACCTCACCCCGGAAGGCTTCCACCTCAGCATGGTCGTCCGCGTCGGCAAGACCGGTCCCACAAAGGCAAAGATCACCTTTCCGGACGGCCTCGACCTCTACCTCGACCCCGCCCACACACGCCCCATCGCCAACATCAGCCTCTCCCCCATCAAGATCAAAAACTCAACAAGGACAAACGGCCTCGTCGTAGACGGCCGCCTCAACACACACAGCAATCCGAATCAATCGGCCTCCTCCCAGCGCGGCCTCGACAGCCTCTTCCGCAAGCTCATCACCTCAAAGGGAGCCGTACTCCTCAGGATCGGCTCGCCCAACGCAGAGATCAAGGCCTACGGCATGTCCTTCAAGCGCATCCTCTTGGACAAGGAGATCAGCCTCGACGGCCTCGACAGCCTCGGAGGCGCTCTCACCTTTCTCTCGGCCTCCGCCCCCGCAACCTCAATCCCTTGCGCCCCGCAACGCAGCTCCATCAAGAACTTCACCATCACTGGCGGAGACCAAAAGTCCGGCATCTGCTTCCGCGCACAGGTCGAGCTCCCAAACCCCGCAGAAATCACAGCCAGGCTCGGCGACATCCGCCTTCGTCTCGAGACCGACATCGACGAGCTCAAGTCAAGCTCGGCAGATCACAATGCCGCCATCGGTCAGGTTGTCTTGCCCGACCTCACTCTAAAGCCTGGCACAAACACCGTCTCCATCCACGGCAACGTTCTCGTCGCGCCGCAAGGTGACCACGGTCGCCTCGCCGGCGTCACCCTCATCCGCTATCTGCTCGAAAACAGATCCGTCCATGTCAACGTCGTCGGCTCCCAAGCTTCGTCCAGAGTTCCCTGGGTGGCGGCCATCTTCGCCTCGGTCCGCATCTCGGCGCTCCTCCCTGCACTCGGCATCAGCTCCAGGCTCCTCGACGGCGCTTCTCTCATCCCGCCCGACGAGGCCGTCCCCTCGCCCCAGCCCCAGCTCTACGCTCGAGCCACGCTCCGCAATCAGCTTGGCCCCCCGCTGCACATCCATTCACTCTGGGTCGAAGCCTTCCAGGACGTCGAGCCAGACGCAGACCACAGCGCGCCAGCTGCAGCTGCCACTCGCCTGGGCGACATCTGTACCCCCGCCGATTCGCCTGTCCTCACGCTCGCATCCGATGCTCCAGTCCACGCCAGCCTGCCCTTCAGCCTGTCCGCCGGAGGGTCCTCCTACGTTCGTATCCTTCAAATCGAGGCCAAGAGAAAGGGAATCGAGCTCAACGAAAACCTCGTCGCAGCTCTCGAACTAATGCCAGATCATGACGGCCAGGACAGCCTTGCATCGGCGGTGTCGAATGCTCGAAAAGGCGCAAGGTCGACTTCAGACGAGCCTTTGGACCTGCCGAATCTAGTTGCCAGCGCTCTGTCGTCGTTGAAAGTGTCAGCCCACATCGTCGCACAGGTCTCCATCGGCGATTATCGCATCCCCGGCGAAATCAACTTCGTCCAGCGCCAGCTGCCCATTGCCATCACCGTCAAGACGGCGCGCAACATCCTCCCCACCATTGGCGCGCCTCTTGTCGATGCCCTGATCGACCAAGCCAGCGTCTCGATTTCCAAGCTCAAGATCCTCGACATGGACGAAAAGGGGCTCAACGTTGAAGCAGAAATCGGCCTCGTCGACTTTGGCCCTCTCGATGTAGACATCCACTTTGACCAGGGCCTCAACATCACCTCGGCCGAATCCTCCGCCTCATCCGCCGAAGAGCCCGTCATTGGACGCATCGTTTTCGCGGAGGCTCTTCGTGGTGTTGCGGGCAGCGAGGAGCTGCTCAAGACCCGCCTCCGCATCCTGCCGGCTACCGGTTCTAAGAGCGTGGCGACCTTTGCTACTTTCGTGTCCGAGATCATTCAGAAGGAGGCCTTCCCCATCCAGATCTCATCAGACGCGTGTCGCGTTGTAGCCGGAGGCGCAACTTTCCCCGCCGTACTTTCGAAGTCCGTCGTCCTCCCCGGCCTCGGCGGCTTGAAGGGATTGACCCTAGAGGGCCTTGACATATTTGACGAAGTTGCCGCACCTACCGGTCCGGGCCGCGGTCGCGCATTAAGCTCGGCGTCCGCCTCGAGTGGCAGCTCAGGTCATATCAACAACAAGGAAAGGGCTTTCAAGGTCAGAACCCGCATCCGAATTCCCCACAAAGGCCTCCTGGCCGTCGCACTATCCAAGATCGAGGCCGGCGTCGAGTTCGAAGGCTACCAGATCGGCATCGTCTCTGCGGAAGACATCGTCTTCACGCTTACGGAGGCAGATGTCCGATTCGAAGCGAACGGCTTCATCTTTTTAGGAAGCGAATCATTCAAGGACAACCAGTCGCTGGCCGAGTACAAGCACAATGCGCTGCAAGCATTCGGCCGACTCGCAGCTGCACTCCTCGGTGGCATGCCTGTCGAACTCACGATCAGAGGCTATCGAGCCTTTGCCATGGGAGATGTGCAAATTCTGCCCACCGGTCGTACCCAGGTGCCGCCTCACCTCCGCAGCAAGTCTTCCTCGACGTCGATCCAGCGCAGGGAGTCTGTCAAACTCGTCCGCAACGCATCGCTAAGCAACTCCAACAGCTCCACTTTCTCTCAAAAGCAAGTGCCTTGGCTTGACCAGGCATTCCAGAAGATCTCCATCTCCACAGTGGTGCATCAGGACTTCCAACCAGTTATCCGGGACATGCGCATCAGCCGTATTTCTGCTAGATTCCTCCGCGAAGGTACTATGGACGCCAACATCGATGCCATCACCTTCCAGATCGAGCTGCCACTTGATGTCCGCTTCGAAGTCCTCGCTGTCGAAGCAGACATCGAGCTTCACTGCGAAGGAGTCGGACGTGTTGGCACGGGCCGTATCGACCGCACCGACGTTCTTTCCTGCACACCCGTACAACCAAGCCGAGGAGACAGCGACGCCGACGTGGATGTGAAAACCTGCTGCGAAGTGCGCCTTGCTTCGGGATCGCTTAAGTTGGTGACGGATTCGGGCGACGGGCTCGCCCAGCTCATAGCACACATTGCCGACAGCGAAGAGACCGACCGGATCAGCATCCGCGGTCGAGCCAGGGCACGTGTCAGCGTCGCGCTGGGAGACATCTCGGTGGATGTGGACCTGGGAAGGCAGCCTCACATTCTTGCAATCGACGGGCTGCGAGGACTGCGGTCGAGCCCGGTGCAGTACACCAATCTCCAGGTGGTCGAGGCATCTCGCGAATACCTCAAGATTGTCTTTTCGCTCTATCTCAACAACCCATCCAAGACGCTCCAGGTGGCGCTGCCCGACACGGATCTGACGATGGCTGCTTTCTACCGCGGCGCCTACGTGGGGAGGGCGCACATTCCAAAAGGCTTCAGCATGGAGAGCGGGCCCGTTGCAGTGCACGACATCCATTTCCGCTACTGCCCTGCGCCCGAGATGGAGAAGGCCGTCCGAGACATTCCGGCCAATTTCCTCTCTGGACGCACTACGACGTTGGAGATCCGGGGAGACGATGATTCGAGCGAGATTGCTTTGCTGATCCCCGCGCTCAAGAACATCCGGCTGTCGTTCGAGCTCAGGCCGATGATCGATCGCACTTTGATCGACAGCATCTCGATCACGCTGGGAGTGACTGCGCTGACGGCGGCTTCCGTGGACGCCGAGTTTGTGGTCAACAATCCGCTCGGCGTGCCGTTTGACCTGTGCACCCTGTCCTTTATGGCAACGTACAAGGGCAAGCCGTTCGGCAGCTGCACGGTGTCCTACGAGCGCGACCATCCCCTTCGCGTGCCTGCCGGTAGCGTCAAGCAGCCGGGCCAGCAGCAGAGCTCGCCTGTCACCGTGGCTCTGGCGCAGCCACTGGAAGACATGGTGGGTGCATTCTTGAAAAGCAAGGGAGAGCTGCTGCTCGATATCGAAGTCAACGCCCGAGTCGAGATTCAGGGCTTCAAGATCCCCAACTTCAACTACCGTCAGCCGCAGCTGCCGCTCACCATCAAGGGGCTCGAAGGCCTCTCCAAGTGGATGAGGTTCCTGCCCTGATCGCCAGCTCAATGCGACCGCACTCGTGATCGGGACGCAATTTAGAAAGCACCGCCATGGTCTCGAAGTCAATGTGAAACTCATCGAAATGGGACCACACCAGGCACCAGAATGAAATGCAGCGAAACGCAGACTGTGCTGATGGCTGTGGGCGTGAATTGAGAGAGGACGTGAATGGTTGGTGGATCAGCGCTTCTTGCTTGGTGGAGGCGGCAGCAGCGGTGCACCACCGAAGCCTGCGCCAAAGGTGTTGGAGGAGGAGCTGGATGAGGATGTGATCTTCCTTCCGCCTCCTCCGGGGATCTTGATCGCGAAGGTTTCGCCCTCTTTGAGGCTGAAGTCCTTTTTGGGGCCCGAGGGCAGGTGTGGTGAGGGACCGTCGTTGATGAGCGCGCCATCGTCGGTGTCGGGGTTGGTACCGCGGCTTGCGGCTGCTTTTTGGCGTCTGTGACGCGGCGGGGGACGAGTATGAATCAGCTGCGAGAAGGCGGGGGTGGGGAGAGTCAGGGGGTTCTTTGACTTACTTTGTCCAGTCCTGGAGCGCCACATTGAAATCGAAGCTATCGCTGCGGTCTTGGAACTGTTGACATTGCAATGATGTTAGTGGATCCAAAATGCGCTTGTGTCTGGCCAGTGGGGGGCGGCAACTTACGCCCATGCCGATGTACGCCTTCTTTTTGGCACCGTCTGGGCCTTGCGACTCGACTCTGAGGACAAAGTACCTGCTCGAGTCGAGAACAGGTTCGACGGAGGTGCCTTTTACGTCGTAGGGGCATTCGGCGAACAGTTCACCCGTATCGCCGTCTTCGAGACGAATCGAGCAGGTGGGTGAGTTGGACGATTCCATGATGCGCAATCGGCCTTTCCAGAGGAACGCCTCCATGTCGCCCCACTCGCCCGCCTTGTAGCCTGCCGTGGACGAGCGAGGCGGCACGCGGTACACGAAGCACTCGCGTGCGACGAACAGCACCGTCTCGTACTCCGACATGGTTCAAATCCTCCGCCAGCCTAGGTAGCCCTTGAAGTGCGAGTCTCGGTCGCAAGATCGCGTCGTACGAGCCAGGTCAGACAGGCCCCAGAGGTCCAGGTCGCTACGTCGATCGTCGACAGAGCTTACTTGGAAAGTGTTCAGAGAGCTCGACTCTCGGCCGGGCGCGAGTGAGCGGTGGTGTGAGGTGTGCGAAAGATCGAGGTGGGATTGGTTGTTGTGATTTCCAGCGACGTGGAACGTGCACTTTTTGGCGGCGGCAGACGGGCGCGAGCGAGTCGCCCTTCGCACCGCTTCAAGGTGGAGGAGAGCGAGAGCCAGCGTGACGCACTCGCCCCTCAACCTCGTCTCGGCACTCGACAAAGTAATTATACCGCTTTGCGCTCAACTGCCAAGCCAGCTCGTCACCGCAGAAGCGACAAAGTTCAGCGCACGAGAAAGGCAGAGCCGAGCAGACGATGCGATGTCCATCTTGTTCCTTCCCGCCGTCTGTCCGAATCAACAACCACATCAACAGCGCCGGACATTCAATAACAAGATTTCGGAAACGGATATCTACATTTGTTTGGCGACCGGTCGCTCCTACAGACGCGAGATGATCATCTTGACACCCACCAGGCCGGCGGCAACGTCGCCCGAGCTGCTCGTGACGAGCTGGAGATGCACATTGAGCGCCGCCTGCTTGTTCCTCGCCTCGATGGCCGCCACGATCTGCAGCAGGCCCTGCACCGTCTTGGCATCAATCGTGCCGCAGTTGAGGTGGTCGAGCAGCAGGTTGATGCGGCGCTCGGTATCATCCACCATCCTCTTCTGTGCCGGCGGGG